TCTGACTGGGAATCAAACCGAGATCCCTTAGTTTGCAGGCCCGCACTCAATCCACTGAGCTACACCACCCAGGGCTGAAGTATAAAGTTTTTGAAAAATAAAACCCACAACAAGATACCTCCGTACCCTACTAAAATGGCTGAAATTAATACAAACGAGAACATTGAATAAATAGCAAATAGCTACATACTGTCCAATGTCCTCTACCAATGTCTTTTTTCTAAGAGATCAGGTTAGAGTTTTTTTTCCACGGATTCTGAGTTTCAGCACATGATGACGTAAAGCACGAGTGATTCTCACCTTTGTCTGCGTGGGCGAAGTTCCCAAGTGTGTCCGGTAATTGCTGACCTGGAGAACTCACCACAGCAAATGGAAACAAGTTGGTAAGACTATGCATTGTGGTTCATTGAAACCCGGCCCCCTGCGAGGGAAAGTGCAACTTAGTATCATATTTCCAGGGTCTCTCTCATTTGAGTCTGGTTTCTTTCACGGTCCAATGGGTGGCCTGGATGCGGTAACATTTCAGCAGTCTTAGAAGGACTGACATTCTTGATTCTCAGCGATCAGTATTTTGGGAATTTAATGATTGTTTAATGAAAACGTTAAATTAGGGTAACAGTTTCGTGATTCATGGGAAATTTTATTTAAAACAGTATTTTGAAGCTATCTATAATACAAACCATTTATGATGCCCTGCCTATTCCAGGGTTAGGTTTTCTTCGACTCTCTTTAATCCTTCCTGGTTACTTTGTAAAAAGTTGATTTGAGAGAGGGAGAGAGGAAGAGAGGGAGAAGCATCGCTCTGTTGCTCCACCCTGTCCTCGTACCCACCCACTCCTGCATGTGCCCTGACCGGGGATGGAATCCACAGCCCTGGCGCAATGGGACAGCCCTCCGACTAGCTGAGCTACCCAGCCAGGGCTCATCCTGGCTACTTTTTTTGCAGTTTAATAGTCAAAGTAAGTTCTTGACTTTCTGACTCACGTGAAAAAGCAGTCAGGCAGCAGTGACTAAGGTCCCTGAAAACTGAGCCCCAGGCAAGCCCGGTCCTTCCTGCATGGCCGCTACCTGGTTGTTTAGGTAGGTAGGCAGGTGGAATGGAAAATGGCGCGATAACCGTCTTGAGAGCATCTTACAGGCTTCGACAAACGCATGAGGATCCAGTGGAGCCTGGGTCTCATCTGTGGGGGTTGGGGCGAGGACGTAGGCTGACTGGGACATGCTGCAGAGCCCTGAGAATTAACCCAGGACTCCTCCACCATGACCGTGGCTCACCTGTACATCGTCGAACTCTTGGTCCCCGTTTCAGACCTTGGGAGAGGAAGCCTGGAAGGGCAGTGACAAGGCAGAGCCTGCCCCTTCTCGGAGTTTACTGTCTCGTCTCCTGGAGGAAGTGAACACTGAGCAAGCAAAGGAACGCACCCCTAAATTTCCCATGTTGGTCACTGAAACAGAGATGTACAAGCAAGGCAAGGGACCAGGACAGTGGAAGAAGGGCATCGGGTTGGGGGGAGTCATGCTGAGGGGTTAACTCAGTGGAGAATGAGCCAGGAACTCAGTTATTTGTAACTATTTAAATTTATGGTGAAGAACTTTAACACGTCACTTGAAAAATACTGGAAGTGAGCACCAAATTCAGAGAGATCGAAAGCAACACTTTGAAGACTGTCATGTACCCCTGGCTGGTGTAGCTCAGTGGACTGAGTGCTGGCCTGTGAACTCAAAGGTTGCTAGTTCCATTCCCAGTGGGGGATGTTGGCCTGGTCCCCAGTAGGGGGCACATGAGAGCCAACCACACATTGATGTTTCTCTCCCCCCTCCCTCCCTTATCCTTGTTCTAAAAATAAATAAAACCTAAAGACTATCATGTAATCTTGATCAGAGCTGAGAAAGCACACTGACTTCTCAGAACCAGACTTCATGTCCCCAGTTAAGGCCACTCAGTCAGGACTGGAACCGGAATTCATGTCGCCCAATAAGAAGTTCCCTTTAAAGGAAGGTGGTGTTTTGAGGGACTTTGTGTTCCACGTGGTAGAAAGAGGTTCCATTTAAGGGAGTCAGTACTCCACCCTAAAATTCTTCCACTCGACTAAACAAAACGAGCGAGCGTGGCAGATTCCGTAGAAGGAGACTCTTGTTTAAGATTCTGTGAGTCCTCACACCACGTGCGGGGGGTCACGCAGGGACGCCAGCTGGCCCGGGCTATGGGCAGTGGCCCTGGGCCAGCGGCAGGACTGCGGCTGCCCTTGGAGAACGATGCCTGGTCTGCACTCGCTCCGCAGTGTCGTGACCATGTCCGCCCACCGCCCACGGCCCTTGACCCTGACCTCCCTTCCACTGCAGGCCAGGTGGGCTGACGGCAGGCCTCCGAGGATTCCATGACTACCAGGTGTGACTGCTTAGAAGGAACATGTTTCGGCAACCAAAACTCAGTGTGGGCAGCTGCGGCAGGACCAACAGAACCGCGCCCCTCAGCCGTCCCGCAGAGCGGAGGGCGCAGTCCTCTCCCACCCCAAGCGGCCTGGCGGGTCGTTGCACACCACCGGGACCGCAGGAGCTCTGGGCGCGTGGTCTAGGTGGGGCCCCTCACGGGTGACCTGCCTGCGCTGTTCTCGCCCCACGCCCCACGCCCAGGCCTGCTGCACCCAGAGAGGAGGAAGGGGCGGGGCCAGAGGCACAGGTGGGCTCTTCCCTCTTCCGAGGCTTCCTGAATCCAGGGTGACCCACCGGGGCACTCAGGAGTCAGGTCCCAACTGCGTGGCTGGGACACGTCTGTGAACAAGTTGCTTCAGCGTCACTGCGGGACTGGACGATGCACTGTGGGTCCTGTGTGACCTGCCTGGTTCCCCGGGTGCCAGCCATCATTCTTTCTCTACTCTGGGGTCCCCCCCAGCACGGAGCACCTGGCCCCTCTGCAGCAGCCAGGCAGGCAGGAGGGGACACGCCCATGCTGTAACCTTTCCCGGTAGCCAGAGCTGCAGACGACTTAATTCGGCTTCCGTTTCTTGGCACTTTTTTTCTTAAACATGGCTCCGCATTGTGTAAGCTTCACACCCCAAAGCCTGGACTCACCCTCTTCTGGGGGTTGAAGGACTGGGGATGGCAGGGCAGGGGCAGGGGACAGCAGGAGAAGCAGGGAGCCTGGGCCAGGGGGGTGTGGAGCCAGACTCTTTGGGGAGAGTGGGGGTGGGTAAGGGGCACCCTGGACTTCGGGTGCAGTCTTGGGGATCCCCTGGCTCTAGGGCACAGGCAGCGGGGCCCCAGGCTCTCCAGTGCTGGGAGTGGAAGGGGTGCTCCTCTTTGGCTCCCGGCTCTGGGCACTTGGCCTCAGCTGGGCCTCCCTGGAAGGAGCAGGGGCTGCCCAGCACCCAAAAGGGGGAGCGGCCAAGAGGCTGGTCGGGGGTGGACTGAGGCTCCCTGGGGAGGAAGCGAATGCCTCTGCTATCTAAAGGTCATCTTGTCTACCTTGGCCTTCAGCCTGCGGGCTGTGACCAACCTGGCCTCTCCTGCCTGGCCTCACCTAACCCTCCCCAGGGGCCAGTGTCCAGAACAGTCCACCCGGCAACCATCTGTTCGGGCTGGTTTTAGGAATGGGGAGGGGGCAGCGCCTCTTCCTACAGACCCGCCAGCCAGGCACACAATTCAGGCCGGGAGCAAACCTCTGTCCGAGGGTGGTGCCCTTCTCATGGGAGTGTTGGGAAGGGACTCACCCTGCCTACAGCTTGAAGAGCACCCAGCAGAGGGAACCTAGGCACAGCCCCCACCCCTCCCCCGAGTCAGGTTCTTGTCCCCAGTTTTCACAGGGGTAATCCAAGGCACAGAGAAGCCAAGTAACTTGCCTGAGATCACACAGTGAAGACGTGAAGGAGCAGAGTTTGGCTTTGGCTCTAGGAAGGACTTAGTAGGACTCAAGAAGGGGTTTGGGGGGACTGCAGAGGGGAAGGGGAGGGGATGAAAGGGCTGGGCAGAGCTCAGGGGAGGGCAGGATCGTTTTTCCCAACCAGAAGGTTGGGAGGAGAAGGGGCCCAACATTGTGGGCTCATGCCCCCTTCGAGGGCAGCCCAGGACTGGTGGGGGCAGGTGGGGGGGGCCCAGCTCCAGGACACAGGGTATGGGCCCTGCATCGAGGACCAGGACCGTGGCCAGTGGAGTGGACACTGCGTGTTTAGAGCGAAAGCAGAGAGGACTTTTTGAACACTTTGGGCAATCCAATATGGAGTCCCTGTCAGCCATGACAGTGCTGTCAAGACTCAGGTAATGGGTTGTAATGGCCTTGGGAGGGGTGGGGACATCCAAAACCACAAGTTGGGACACTCAGGTAAGGACTCTATGTGGACATCGGTGTGAGTGGGACGTCCACCCCTTGTGGGCTATAAAACGCAGAGCTCTGACCACTGACTGCTGGGCCCTGGCTGTACCATGGGTCATGCTGGAGCCCTACGGGCCCCCACCTGGCTTGAGACCTACGCCCCCACCCCCACCTTCAGAAGCTGCCAGTGACCATGACTTCGTGCCACACGCTGGCTCTGCTGGCTTTTATCACTAAGCTTTCCCTCTCTGGGTGTGACCTGCCTGTGACCCTTGGCTTATTGGAAAGGTCTCCCCTGATAAATTGGCAGCTGTGGCAGCTTACAGTGTCGTGTAAACGTCTGTAGCAGTCCTGGAATACAATCACTGCAAGAGAGATAAAAATGCAGGAACTCAAAAACTAGGTACGGCGTCTGGGTCGGTTCGGGTTTGGCAAGAACCACTAGACTTTGGGGTGGAAGTGGATGGTACAAACCACCCTCAGAAAACTGAGAAGGGAACCCCGGGATCAGGTATGACAGACACAGCCTAAAGTCGGAAGGAATAGGTCTGAGTTGTGTCAACAGTTCCCAGCTTTAAAGGTCACTGTCTTCCATTACCAGGCATCCTGACCTTGAAAAGACACTATGCTCCGCCCCCTCCCCACACACGGTGTCGTCTCATTACCAGCAAACTGCAAATAAAAAATATCTTGTCCAGCCAGTTTCTCAGAAAAACTGTAGGAGTCACAGCAGGTACAGTGGCCTTATTAATTTGAAAACTTTTGACTAGGAAAAGGGTTGTGTTACTTATTATTTGGTTTTACTCAGGGAAGGGGCTTGGGCAAAAATTACCTAGATATAGAATTTGCCTGGAAAATGGATGGAAGAAATGTACAGAAACCTGCAGGTAATGCCAATCGACTCGCACAATAGCATTTTCAATAATGCAAGTAAGCTGTTGATAAATACGCTATGGTTTTCGTTTCAATAATGTCATTAGTTACTGAGTATTGATGCCCAAGTAATAATGTATGGAAGACGGGGGACGTGGGGGTGTCAGACACTCTCACGTCCCCTTCCTGCTTCTTACTGTCTGGTGACCCCACCTGTTACACTGAACTTTCTCGAGACTGCCCTTCTTCACTCAGAGATAAGTATCGACTTTTACACCTTTCATTGAACATTCTTTGGTGCTTATTCTTTATCCAAAGATCCCTTGAAGATATTCTTTATTGACTGACCTCTTTTTTCGGGCATCTTCTAAAATTCTATTTTTGAGTTCCTTTTTTCTAATGTTTAATTATTGTAGCAAATGAATTAAGCGACTTCATTTTACCAGACACCATCTATTCCAAGTAACTTGAGGCAAGAACAAACTTGGAGAAGTACTTCCGTTTCATTTCTTGATCAGTGAGGGGTCTCTGTGAGAATTTGTGCTTCACGGAGAGTTTCCTGTCCTGCTGTCAAAAGCTGCATTATTCCCATAGCTCCTCCACCACCATGAAGGGGACCTTCTTGAACACCATCCTGGTCCTGGCTGTCTTCACATGGGCTGCCGTCGCGGTGGGTGAGTTCCATGTCCTTGCTCTGCCCACACTCCCTGCAGTACATGCAGGACCGTGAGGAAATTACAGGTAGAACTGGAAGTGCTATTCAGTTTTATTTTACCCGAATTCCTCATGTTGCAGATGTAGACACTGAAGCAAAAAAAAAAAAAAAAAAGAGAGAGAGAGAAGAAGAAGAATGGGAGAAGGAATGGAATAGAGCTATATAGGAATAGCATTTCTAAATGTCACTTGAATTAAAATACTGTAGATCTGAGATATATATATTCCAATAAGATATGTATGGTAAGCCATATGCAACCACTAAAATACTCAGAAAAGCGTATTATCAGAATTACAAGGTCACACTAGGTTATATTCACTTAATGCAGCAAAGGAGGAATAGGGAAGTAAAAGGATATGAGACATGCAGAAAACAAAATAAGATGCAAGATGTAAATCTAACTGTATCATAAAAACCTTAAATGTGAGCGAATTTCACAATCTGATCAAAAGGTAGAAATTGTCGGACTTACCTTAAAAAACAGGATCCAGCTACATACTGTCTACAGGAAATAAACTTGTTTGGCAGAAATGAAAAAGCTGATCCTAAACTTCATATGGAAATGCAAGACTGAGATGGCCAAAGCCATCCTGAAAAAGAATGAAAATGTGGAAAGTGCCCCTGCTTCCGAGTGCAGAACTAACTAACTACAAAGGAGCAGGCGTCAGGACAGCGTAGAGTCAGCACGGGATAGAAATACAGACCTGGAATAGCACTGAGAGTCTAGAAAGGAAAAGGCCTTACTTTCAGGGCGGATTGATTTTAACAAGATTCCCGAGCGATTTGATGGTAAATTGTCTTTTCCACGAATGCTGCAGGGTCAACTGGATATCCACATGCAAAAGAACGAGTGTGGACCCTTTCCTCGAGTCAGAGACAAAAACTAACTCAGAATAAATCACAGAACTGAATGTAAGGGGTAAAATCATAAAACTATAGGAAAATATGAGTGAGTTTTTATGACCTTAAGTGAGGCAAAGCCTTATTAAATAGAATACCAAAGGCAGAAGGAAAAAGGAAAAACAGGTAAATTAGACTTCATCAAAATCGAACATTTTAGTGGTTGAAATGATGCCAATAAAGATAACAATAAAGGGATAAGACTCTCCGGACAGTGGGTGAAATTGTTTGTAAAGCACAGATTGGACAATGTCCTAGTCTCCAGTGCATATGGAAAGAAGCCTTACAACTCAATAATAGAAGGACTTAAAATGATCTGTTCTTTTTTTTAAAGTTTATTTATTTATTTTCAGAGGGGAAAGGAAGGAGAGAGGGAGAGAAATATCAATGTATGGTTGCCTCACGTGAGTCCCTTGCTGGGAACTGGCCTGCAACCCAGGCATGTGTTCTGACTGGGAATCGAACCTTGATCCTTGGTTTGCAGGCTCATGCTCAATCCACTGAGCTACATAAGCCAGGGCAGTCTGTTCTTTTTTAAAAAGGCCAAGTACCTGAGCAGACATTTCTCCAAAGAAGATACACAAATGGCCAGTAAGCACATGAGAAGACGCACAGCCTCACTCCCTGATCGGTAGGAAAACACATATCAAAACTGCAATGAGATACCACTTCATACCCATTAGGAGGACTATCATCAAAAAGAAATAATAACCAGTGGTAGCAGAAATGCTAGGAAATTGGAACTGTAATGCGTTGCTATTGGGAGAGTAAAATGGTGCAGCTTTGGCAATTGTTCTTCAAAAGGTCAGCGCATGACCCGGCAATCCCACAGCAGGTCCGGGCCCGAGGCAAAGGAAGATACACCGCCAGGCAGAGACGCGGCGTGTGCGCACGTTCACAGCAGACTGGCTCCTAAGAGCCAGAAAGGGAAAACAGTAAACGGTCCATCAGCTGCTTGATGAATAAATAAAGTGTGATATGTACATACAATGGAATATTATTTACTTATAAAAAGGAATGAGGAACTGATGCATGTTACATCAGGGATGAACCATTAAAACATTATTCTGAGTGAAAGAAGACAACACAAAAGACTACATATTATGTGATTGTATTTAAATAAAGCTTCCAGAAGGGACAAAAAGCAAAGCAGTGGTCGTCTGGGGAGAAGACGGGGGTAGGTGCTGAGGGAGGGGTGACGCGTGGCTGCTGATGGGCACGGGGTTTCTTTTCGGAGCTGAAAGTTTCTAAAGTTGCTGGTGGTGTTGGCTGCACAGCTCTGTGACTTTCACAGAGACCATCGGGCTGTGCACTTTAAATACATGAATTCTATGTTATATGGATTTTCTCTTAAGAAAATTGATATACGGGGGTAGGTGAAGTAGGTTTACAGCTGTGAGTAGGTGAAAAGGTTTATTCTTTTAGCTTATTAATGATTGTATCCTTTATTTGTATTATGACTGTAAGCCTACTTTTGCCCACCCCAGTCTAGAGCTGATATGTTATACTTATGTATGGTAATAATTATGTTAGATAATTATACTATATACTATAATATATTATATGTAATAAAATGTTATATGCATATATATGAATAATTGCAAAGACTGCTTTGGATCCAGAATATGTAAAGGTGTTTTTTTTTAAGATTTTATTTTTTTTTTAGAAGGAGAGGGAAGGGGTGAGAGGGAAATATCCGTGTGTGGTTGCCTCTTGCTCCCCCTACTGGGGGCCTGGCCTGCAGCCCAGGCCCGTGGTCTAGGTTAGAAATCAAACCGGTGATTTTTTGGTCCGCAGGCTGGCACTCAGTCTGCTGAGTCACACCAGCCAGGGAAGAGTATTTAAGTCTTAATGAAACCCAACATCTGTTAAGATATCTCAATATAATTATTTTATTGTGATGTGTAACTTACAGGGTGTTTTCTGAAAACAGCTGAGAAGGGTTGTAGAAAGTGTTACTTGCTTGTGAAGTGTAAGGGCTGGAATTTGACAGGAGGGAGGGGGCAGAAGCGTCCCAACTCTCCCCTTCTTTAGAGGGCAGCGGGTATCAGAGAGGAACTTCAGCCTCTTCTGGTGGAACCCGAAGCTGCCTGTGTGCCAGCCAGGGTCTCCCTCAGCCTATTTTCCCTGGGGGCAGAAGACAGAGCAGCAGCCCTCCTGAAGTTGTTTTTGTCTTCCAGACTTCCCTCTTCCTACGGGCGAAGGGGCGAGCCTCAGAGAGACAAAGGTGAGCCCTCCTTCCTAGCTTCCTTCCCCATAACAGGACTGGGGAGAAGCTCAGTTTCCCGAAAGCCCCAGCTCTTCCTTCCGGAAGTTGAGGGCCAGAGGGGACTTGCAAGGGTGTAATGCCACCATAAAAGCTGAGCCGTCAACTATGTGTAGCACATTTTATATGTTCCTGAGCCCTCTTCCCATTCACGGTCCCCGTCGGTTCATACAACCCCCTTGTGGGATGGGAGGCAAGTATATTTTGCATCGTTAAAGGGATGATGAAGTTGTGGCTGAAATTCGGGCCTGTCTTGTGCTAGGGTGGACATTTGGTGGGGGGAGGAGGGTACCCTGAGACACACATCCTGCCTCCCACACACCAAGGTCCCACACGGTGTCCACTTTGTCCCCTTCCTTCCACATCCTAACTCTGCTGTGGCAAGCTTGAGCCCCCTGCTGTCTGAAGCACCACACACAAGTCACTCTGTAATGTCCAGAAGGAAAGTCTAACCTTGAGAGACATTTTCCCCTCTGAGCTCACAGCTGCAATTTGCGGTTGGTGGGACAGGGATTTTTACCCTAAGGAATTTAAGGCTCAGACTGGGAAGTCTGCAGACTTATGTTATGTTACAATATGTTATATTGTAGTATATTACCAGATTTTGCTGTGTATAATGTGAACTCACATTTTTGGCCCAAGCTTGCAGAAAAAAAAAAACCAACTTTTTTTTTCAATTTTTCCATTTTTATTTTTCAATGATTTATTTATATTTAGATACTTTTTTGTATTATAAAGGAATTTTAGCATTTATTTTTGAACATATGGTACAAGAAATTGTATGTTACGGATTACAAAACACAAGAACAGAGATGCAAAGTATTCAGGCACTGCCGTGTATAATGCACATCCTTATTTTTCCCTCAAAAATCTGGGCAAAACATTACACATGGAAAATCTGGGTATGTTATATTACATATTATAGCATATGGGTATATTATACTACATATTATAACATATGGGTAAATTGTGGGTCTATTATGTTGAAGTGTTATATGTTGGTTAGGGTAAATGCCAGGGGTCAAACTCTTACACTTCTAAAGCCTGGTCCCCGAACTCCTGGTCTGGTGCTCCTTGTCCCCTGCTTCACCCCCCACCAGTGGTGACAGCCAGAGGACCTGGAGGAGGGCGTCTGGAGCAGGCGTCTGTGTCTTGCCTGCAGGTCAAATGCACCAACAATATCAATCACTGCTGGTTTGCCTCCTACATCAAGCCCAGTGAACTCATCTGTGGCAGTGACTGGGTCACCTACAACGGCGAATGCGACCTGTGCTCCAGAATTCTGTAAGTCTTCATTTTATTCTCAACTCAGGAGGTTAAAGGGGGCCAACACAGGAATGACCCCTTGAAAACTGCCCTGCTGGTGAGATTCCTCCCTCCAGCGACGACTCCACTACTTGCCTCTCCACGTCCCCCAGGCTTCCCTAGGCTGCCATAACGATCCCACTCACATGATGCAGAAACTGAGACCCCCGGGGTGCAGTCTGGCCTGGGCAAGGGTCAGCTGAGAAAAACATTCCCCCCTCCCCCACCTCATTTTATTGCTATGATATCATCACATTGGTTGATATTTTTAGGTTGAATCACCTGCACTCTTAGGCAAAAATCCCTCTTGATCATGGTGTACAGTCCTTTTAATATTCTTTTGGCTTCAATGTGCTCGTAGTGGAAATTTTTGCAATGTATTCATAAAGGATGGTTGTCTATAGTTTCTTTTTTCTGAGATGCTTTTGTCTGTGTTTGCTATCATGGTAATTAAGGCTTTGTAGAATGATTAGTGAGTGTTTATTCCTCTTCTATTATTTGGAAGTGTTTGAGAAGGAGCAATATTAAATCTGCTTAAAATGTTTGTTACAACTTACTCATTAAGACTTCTGATCCTGAGCTTTTCATTGTTAGAGATTTTTTTTTCCTTATTCAATCTCTGAATATAGGTCTTTTGATTTTCTGTTTCCTCTTGAAGCCGATTGGGTAATTTGTGTGTTTCTAGGAGCTTGTCCATTTCACCCAGGTTATCCAATTTATTGATGTACAATCATTCACAGTTTTCCTTTATATTCATTTTTATTTCTTTAAGGTCACTCGTAATGCCTTAACTTTCGTTAAATGCATATTTTAACTTTAATACACATTCTCTTTCTAATACTCTGTACTTCTACTTAACTATTCAAGATTACTTTGAATTTTCCAGATTTGACTTAAGGATGAGTATGTTTTACGCATTCAACATCTTTGACAAATAAAGATCTATATCATAGACATTTGAAAGTATTTTATTAAATAAGAATTCACTATTAGCAGAATGTTTCCTTCTCAAACTTAGCTAAAGATTGTCAGGTAAAACTTAGTCACAGCATGTCATAGAGCAAAAATAATTTTAAAATATCACTTCTTTCAGATATGAGAGCCGCGACATAACTAAACTGCATGATGGACCATGTGTGAGTAAAGTCCCTTTTACTTTTCAGTTTTAGGAGTGAACCAAATATAGTTAAGTACTCCTCATTGTAGAGTCTTAAATATTTGTTATGAAAAATTTCAAGCATACGTGAAGTTAAAGATAATAAACCTCATATGCCTATTGTATAGATTCTACAAAGTGCAGTGTTCGCCGCATTGCCTTCCTCTCTTACTTCTCTTTGCTGAAGTTCACTGACACACCTCAGCCATCACATCCTTTCCCTCCTACATACTTCAGGGTGCATCTCTAAGAAGAGAAGACGTTCCCTTACCAAAAATGCTGGTTTAGACCTCATTTGTTCTTGTCATCTTCTAATACATACTGCATGTTCAGATTTTCCAAGCCATCTCAAAAATAACTTCTGGGAAAAGAAATGTATTTTGGCCTGATAACTCAACAGTAAAGAACCTCTATTCCACCCTTTTTCTTCCCCGCCATGTCTAATTCCTGGGACATTCACCAAAGACACTAATTGGGAGGTTATCCTGAGCGTGAATGGTCCGGGCCTCGCTAGGCCCTCCCTGCGCTAGACAGTGTGCCTTCGAATTGAGGTCGTGGGGCCAAAGCAAGAGCCCGGCTGACACCACCGAGATCATTACACTGTTCTGAGGCATGGAAGTGGGACGGGGACAAGTCATTTTGGAAGAGAAAATAAAGGAGATCTCAGGTAAAGCAGATAAAAAGACAATTATATAATTTTGTAATAATTTCAGGACAGTATCTCCTGATACAGTCTCAGTGACAAGTTCACAAGTCTCATCTGATTCCAGACCAGTGTGCCTGTCGCTCCCTCAGAGGTCCATGACTGGAATGTTCTCTGCTCCCACTGAAGAGAAAGCATAAGGCTTTTTATGATTTGGGGGTCATTGTAATGGGACCTCACACAATCCCCACTTCTGTCAGATTCTTGCGACCTGGGCTAATTCATAGAAAACCCTGCTGAATGCCTTCCTCTTCTATCTGAGGCACGGCCCTTGTCAAATAAACCTCCGGTCCTAGGTCCATTTCAAACTTCTAACTTTAAAAAAGTGCGTTTAAACGGAAGGATATCCATAAAGTGGTGTCCAAGGCTGTCTTCTGACAGACTTTCCTTTTCCTTGGGGCAGTCTTTGTTCTGTTCAGGGCTTCAACTGATTGGCGAGGCCGCCCGCTTTGTGGAGGACAACCTGCTCTCCTCAAAGGCCTCTGACTTAATGGTTAATCTCATCCAAAAACACTTCTCAGAAATATTCAGAATGTGTCACCAAATATCTGGGCACCGTGGCCCAGCCAAGTCGATACATAAAATTTACCACCCCAAAGCCTGTACCTGGAACCACCAGTGAGAAGACAGCTGCAAAGCACCTGCCCCAGGGGCCACTACGTGAGCAACCAACGCCCCTGTTACTTTATTCAAGTCTCTCCATTTTCCTTTGTTTACTAAGTGGTGCTTCAGTCTGCCTATGGCAGAAATGAAGCTACTGTAGGCACCAGTCCAGGGGTGGGCTGAATCACAAACTGTTAACACTGAGAAGGGAGGGGGGGTCTCAAATTCGCTAGGTACATGGTCAACATACAAAATCAGTAACATTTCTTTATGGTAGTACAACCTAATTAGAAAATGAAATAAAAATAATACATCACTCAAAATAGAAACAAAAACTGTGAACTATCTGGAAATTAACCTTTCTTCTCAAAATTGCTGAAAACTTTAAGGATGCTTAAGATCATATGAGAGAGCCCGCGCTCCTGGCTCATAACTTAAGCCTTCCGACCGCCCTCCGCCTTTTCTGGCTCTCCTGGGGGCCGGAAGACTCGGGGGCATCCACATCCTTCGCTCTCCTCTTCCCGCTGCCACTGTGCCTTTTTTCTCCTTCAGTGAAGTGAGAAGGTCTCTAGTCTGCCTGAATTCCTGGGATAATTGTTAGCATTCCTCCTGCTGGACTAGATGTGGCAGTCCCCAAGTTTGACTTCTCTAAGCACATACTTCTTTTGCAGGAAAACTCCTGAACTCACACCACGGAGAATTACAGAGCCACCGAATCCCCGGAAGATCAAGTGAAACGTAATGATTGCCTCTTAAAGCACATCCCCATTAGAGGAGAATGCTGGCCCTGGAGGAAGCCAACAGTTACAATCAGACTCATTGATTTGCTTCTTTAGTAAACGATTCTCAGCAGAAAATCTGGCTGGTGAACATTTTTCTCAGTTAATAAGATGTATCTTTTTAAAAGATCAGCTCTTCTGCGTTCTCACCCCAAAACTACATGACTTAGTGCCATGGCTCCCTCTGTTTTTGTGCAGATTATGAACAAAGGACCACAGATGTCTACAGGAGGGAGCAGGTGCCTTGGGGGCAGCAATATTTACAAGAGGAGGGCTCTGGTCATTGTGAAGCTGAGTAAGCGTGGGGCGAGTGACTTGACTTTTCAATACATCAGGATCTGGCCTGAGAAATTTTAACCATACTCTAAGAGATTCAGAATTTTATTGAGCTCAATACTTGGAGGAGTGCCTGGCCACATTTAAGTTCCTAAATACTTCACAAGCACTAAGTTAATAAGTTTTTCAACAAACTTAAGTATGACCTTGTTTTACAAAGAAACTGAGGCTTAGAGAGTTTCACACAATCCGCAGTGAGGACTTTATTAGAATGAATTGCAGATTCTTACATAAACATTTGGTTATGGTCCTAGAGAAACATGCAGACATGCGCACATGTTAAACTGAGCATGAGTGAAGAAACAATTCACGCACGCGTGTGAAGCTTCAGGAAGCCAGGCACACATAGCTTGGTCCCTGCTTCCCTCCTTCACTGTGGGAGCCAGCTGGGCACAAGCTCTACTGCATTTTGGAAGTTTGACAGGAGGTGGCTCTATCTTTTGGCAGGGGTGAGGGGTAAGTTTGGTTCAAAGGAATGTTTGGATCTGATGATGCAGCACAGAACATAAAAGAGACCAGGTGAGAAGTGTGGGGACCACAATATCACATTTAAGTTGAGGCATTTCAAACCCTCTTCAAGTTAGCTGTGTTGAATGTTGGTCACTTTGTTTATAAGCAAGTGTTTGGAGTATTTTTAAAGATTGTATTTATTTATTTTTAGAGTGAGGGAAAGGGAGGGAGAAAGAGAAGAGAAACATTAATGTGAGAGAGAAACATCAATTGGTTGCCTTTACACATGGCCCAAATGGGGACCAGCCCACAACCCAGGCATGTGCCCTGGCTGGGATCAAACCAGTGACCCTTTGGTTTGCAGGCCCGTGCTCAATCCACTGAGCTATACCAGCTAGAGCACTTTTTTTTTAATTAAAAAAATGTTTATTGATTTTAGAAAGGAAGGGAAAGTGAAACACTGATTGATTGCTTCCCATATGCAGCCCGACAGGGGATCGAACCCACACCTTTTAGTGTATGGGACGATGCTCCAACTGAGCCATACCAGCGAGGGCAAGAGAGATTTTCTAAAGAGGCTCATTTCCTCCTCATTTTCTGTAGCCTGGCAAAGAGCCAGCTCCATGGGTCTTCCTTCTCTCCAACAATAAAATGATAGAAACTCAGTGAGCCTCCTGGAAAGGAGAGGAACAGCAATGAGAAACACGTCAAAAGAGAAATTTCGGAAATCTACTCCTCACCAGACACAACCAGCTGAGGATAGTATCTTGAGGAACACGTGGAAGAAGTCTCAATCCTCACTAGGTCCCAAGGGGAATGAACTTTAGAAACAAGAACAGCAGCTTCCACTAAAAAGAAAACCTCTGGAAAGTAATTCTCAACGGAAATGTATGGGGTCAAGAACTTCCTTCCTTCCCAGGAGGCAGGTGTCCTGGGCCTGAGCCACTCCACAGCACAAGGCAGCGGGCCCTGAGGACTGTTCACAGACAGGGACCTGAGGGACCTGTCTTAGAGCCTGCCCTCTGAGCAGTCCCGGGGTGGCAAAGACAGACCTAAAGGGGAAACAGTATGAAGAAACTTCAGTATGCCCGGTGAAAAAGAGAGGCCCGGCTCTCAAAGACCACCTGGCTGGGGCTGCCATTAATACGGCTGTCTACACACGGGACCAGGCACAGGTTGCTGCCCCTCAGAATACAATGAACATGTCATAATTAACCTCTTAAAGGGAGATTCTCCCAACAGAGTTTAGACTCACAAGTTGGAGACTCTGAAAAACCGGTGTAGAATTACTTGAGTCTTGGCGAAACCAAATGAAGACTTTCTAGCCTATTCACCTTGCCTCAGATATCAATGAGTATCAGGGTCTTTTGACAGGTTTCTTGTTTTAAATTCTTTTTTATTGTTATTCTATTACAGTTGTCCCAATTTTTCCCCCTTTGCCCTCCTCCACCCAGCCTAGCTGACCGCTTTCTAAGGACAAAATGTTGCCTGGTATCTGCTAGGGGCTGGGGACTGGCCTGCTTTCTAAGTTTTGTGGATGTGGGGCAGTGCCGGGATAATTATGTCCTGTAAACTATTTACATTCTTTCTGTGGTTGCCATTGTTTTAAGTGAGACTGACTTAGACTCGGCATCAAATCTGGGCAGCAGAGTAGGCAGGTGCATTTGGCATGGTCTCACATCGTTTTCCGACAGATCCCTCAGTACTGATTGAGCTCATGTTCGGCCTCCACCTGTCTGCCATTCCTCTTTCTCTTGGTTCTGAGCCTAAGCTCAGAAATAGGGAGTTATGTATTGGGTCTCCCCCTAAAACCACATCTGCCCTTACTTTCATTATGTAGGCTTGTGGCTGAGGATGGTCAAAGCAACTATAAAAGTTTCCTAAAGACCCCTGTGGCAACAAGCTGCCAGAGCCACAGACCTCCTACCAACGTTCCAGGTGTGCGACACCTGGACATGCAGACACTACAGTCAGCTGGGAAAATATTTAAATTGGTGACAGTTATAGTTTGTTATCCTTCCTCTCAAATTCTCATTCCCTCCAAGAAAAAACTGTGTCCTCCCCACACACGAGACCACCCTCCAGGAACACCCCAGTTCTCGTCTCCTCACCCTGGACTACTTCAAGAGACCCCGGGGTAACCCACTCCACAAGCCGGTGCCCAAATTCCTTAGGCACGTCCCAGACCCTTCCCGCTAGTTTCCCTCACGCCCCAGGTACACCTGGACTCCAGCCAAGAATCCTGCCTCGCCCACTCCCAATTCGCTGTGCTCCTTCGAGCCTACGTGATCGCTCCAGCTCCAAAGGTTTCCAGTGGCTGCTTCCTGCCTCCGTGATACGGCCTCACAAGCCCTTTGCGGAGCTCCAACCTCGCGTGAGATAAAGCATACAAGAGTCGGGCAAGGTGCATGCCGACGGCGCCACTGGAGGGCACTGTGCTCCGCCAGGCTGCCTCCCAGGACTGCCCATCCTGTCCTGGGCACCCTGGCTCGCCCTCCCTCCCTAACGAACGAGGGAGTCATCCCAGCTAAGCTCAGAAGGGCAACTCCCGCCCTAGATGGCGTCCGCCTCTCCTCTGGTGCAGGAGAGCCACGCGGGCCACCAGCTGCTGCACGATGCCGCTGCTTTGAGCCCTGAAAGAATCGACAGCACCGGGACCTCCCGCTGACTCACACACCCCTTTACTTGGCTTCACGCTCGGCCAGAGGTTAAAGGCAAGGACCCCAGAGGGGCTGCCCACTGAACGCCTGAAGGACCCCGCTTGGGCTGGCTAGGAAGAAGCCTGGTGGCAGAGCCACGCTGTTGGAGGACTAGGCGAATCCGCACCCGCAGTTCAGCTGGACTGGGGCTCCGAATAGCACAGAATCTGGACTTTGTCCCGGGTATCAAGAGCAGGGGTCGCGCGTCTGCAGGCCTGGAGAAATGGAGGGGAGCGAGGGGGGGCGGCGGGGGGGGGGAGAGAGACTGTGAGCCTGGGGGGGCTGGAGGGCGGGGCCTCACGTGTTGCGGGGCCTCACGTACCGAGCTGCAGGTACCAGCCGCGCAGGCAAGGAGAAGGGGCTTTGGGTGCTGCCTTCCGGAAGCAGAAGAATAGAATAGGTGCTTCAGGTGTTGGGGCAAATGCCCAGGCAGCTTCTAAAATTTGTAATTCTCTGACATTTAAGTTGAGCAAGTTTCTCTACCTGTCACCATTTGTTGTAAACGAAGAACCAAGACAGCTATAGTTGGCATTGGTAGAGGACCCACTTTCTCCCCTGGAGGCTTCTGGCAGCCTGGACTTGAAATAGCTGCATCAGGTTCACTGATTAATTCGTTCAACAAATACTGTTGAGAGCGAGCTCTGGGCTAGACACTCTGCATAGAAATCAAGGATACGATGTTGAGCAAAACAGACCCCCGCTTTCATGGCACTGACCTTCTAGTGGGGAAGACAGATCTGACGGAAATGTGCAAGGAGCCCTGAGAGAGTGTTACAGGAGAAGTGAGCTAATACCTGGTAGGCGAGTAGGAGGAAACCAGAGGAGGCACGTTCTGGCTGCAAAAACTCCTCACACAAACGCTGTCAGGCCAGAAAGTCTTGGAGCGATGGGGCTGGAGCAAAACAAAGTTCAGGGATGCAGGGTTCTAGATGAAGCTGGAGAGGTACGCAGGGATCCGATCACGCAAAGCCTAGTAGGCCACAAGGATTTGGGGTTTTACTATAGAAGCGTGGTATACTTTCAGGGGTCGAGGAGGGGAGTGATACCTGGATTTGCATTTGTAGTTCTCCGGCTGCGCTGCTGTGTAGAGAACAAATTGTAGAGGGGGCAAGAGTAGGAACTGGGACACTGTCCAGGAGACTTCTGCAGAAGTGGAGGGGGGGAGGAGGACGCTGTTTTGGGCTTGGTGATGATGGGTGAGAGGGAGAGAATTTTATGGATTTGAGATACTATGTTGACTAGGTAAAATGACCAGAATTTAGTAATAGCATGAACGTGGAAGGTGAGGGAGGGGAGGTGTCAGGAATGTCACTCCCTAGATATATAGTGAAGATTATGCTTGCTTTGGGTCACTCACCACCTGGCATATTAGGGAGTCTGGGTTGGCCGATCTTGTACTGGTTAGACTGGGCTTAGCTTTGTGGTTCAAGCAGAGCATCGGGCTGAAAGATACAGAAAGGGCAGCATGAGAAGAGACCTTGGCATAGTTTCCTCACTTGACCCAGCTCCAGATAGCACTTTGAATGTAATTGTCAAGCTACCGTCGGGCTAAGAGAAATGGGAGTGTTGGCCGGACTGGCCCTGCATGTGTTCAGAGAAGCCTTCTCTGTTTGTTGGCAAATGTCAGTGTTCCACCAGATATGTTTCGAGACCTAGTCCTTAGTCCTGCAAAGATGGTCAATTTTTCACATGTAAATAGAAATTCACAGTTGGAATAGATTTCAGATTCTCTTAGTCCAGAGTATAAATACTTTTATGTTCTGTATGTCATTTCCATAATTATTTATTGAGCTCTTATAGCATGTTAGACACACTAGAAATACAATTATGAGTGGAGTAAGGATATATAGGTTCGTTTAGTCCACAGGTGGCAAACACAAGGCCTGTAGGCCGAATCTGGCCCTCCACCTTATTTTATCTGGCCGGCACCTTGTTTCTACCCAGGGACAGCGCTGAGCTCCTGGCCCCTAGTTGAGGAGTAGTTACATTTATACAGTGCTAAAGTTACATTCAGCCCTTTGAAGGCAACCTCGAGGTGAAAATGAGTTTTATACCCCTGTTTTAGTCAATAAAACTAATCAAGCATCTTTGTGCCAAGTACTGTTTCAGCCACTTCAGATACAACATGCTTATAGCTAGTCCCTGAACTTGGAGTTGCACATCTGTAAGTGTAAGCCTTGCCATTGAGAACAGCTGAGTGTATTAGAGGGTTCAAGTTGGGCAGGAAAGTTTCTGACCAATCTGTAAGAGTAGATAAGAGATGGTGTGTATCTAGCAGACTCTTTGGTACCCTGCCAGCATCCCAGTTCATGTCCACCCATCTTCCAGTTCCGCAGTTGGTGGGAGAGCAGGATCGGGTGGAGGGCCTTTGCAGCAGAAGCACATGTTCTACCCTTGTGGCCCGGCCATTGAGAAGCGTAAGTTGTAAACACTCTGAAACACAGAGGACTGTTAGGAAGGGAAGGGAATTTGGGGAGAGACAGGTAAGGTAGTGTTTAAGCAGGAATTTCTCTTGAATGGGCCACTTCTCTGTAGGCTTACAGTGGCCCAGACCAGTGTGTTCCACAGGCAGCCCCGGTGTCCCCTTCGCCACTCCCTCCCTCCATCCCATGAACGCAAATGGGCCATTAAATACAAGAGTGTACACGTGTGTACAGTAACTGTGTGCGGCCTTCCTGTGCACCTGTCATGTGCTTTCTGAGTGACAGGAATGGGAACTCTGGTTGGCTTGCAAAGCTACATGGCTCCAGAGTAGGAAGGGTGGGAAGTGCAGTTGCAACAGGCGCCTGATCCAGCTCTGATGGCAGGAGCAGGACAGCGGGATGACCTCAATCTTGCGAAGCCCGCAGGCTCTGCAGCTTACCCTGGCCCTGATCAAGCCTGATGCAGTCGCTCACCCACTGATTCTGGAGGTAAGAATGCATCCTGAGCCTCTGCCGCATGCCCCGGACATTGCTTCTGTTTCAGGTGCCACAGGGCCCCTTGCGAAGGCTGACAGCACAGTCCTGTGCTGGGCACCAGGAGGCAGAGCTAGGAGCCCTGGACTCAGACCCTGAGAAGACTAAGAACCTGCTAGAGAATTGGGCAGATATAAAATATAAGTAAGAATCCTGTATAATAATAAGAGGAACCAAACCACAAGACATTGTATGTGTATTAGTTTTCTATTGCTATGTAAAAATTACCATAAACTTAGTAGCTTTAAACAACACTCCTTTGTTAATTCACAGTTCTAGAATTTGAAGTATAGGAGGCTTGGCCGGGTTCTTTCCTTGTGGTTTCACAAGGCCAAAGCCAAGGTATCAGCCGACTGGGCCCTTATCTGGACGTTTGGGAAAGAATCCACTCCCAGACTTACTCGGGTTGTTAGCAGAAATGGGTTCCTGTGGGTTATAGGACTGAGGGTCCTGTGTCCTTGCCTTAGGTGGGATGACCGTCATTCTCTAAGGACCAGTCACATTGCTTGTCTGACCGCTCATTCTGTCTCCAAGACAACAGCGGTGCATGAGCCTTAGGTCCCTCGGACTTCGCCTGTATCTCCCAGCCAGATACATCTCTGCTGTTAAAGAGCCCATGTGATTAATTAGGCCCGTCTGGATACTCTCCCTTTTGATGAAAGCAAAGTCCACTGATAGTAACCTTAATTACACGTGTAAACTCTCTCATCATGTCGTATATCATAATCATTCTGCATGATATTCACAGTCCTGGAGATTTAGGGAAGGCGACTTGGTGGGCTTGGTGAGGGTCGTTTGAGCACTCTGCTTACAATAGTTCGGTGAGTATAGCTGAGCAGCATTGCTAAGTAAGCCCGCTGGGGTGCCAGGGGAGACCAGAGCCACCAGGAACGGTGGCTTGCAAGTATTGAGACTGCGCACCAATCCAGGAGGACGAGCGTCCCACAGAAGGGAGGCTCAGGTGGGCGCCGCGTATCTGAGGGCCACGGGCAGGCTGGGTTCGTGGGACGAGAGACTGGGAAGCCTGTGGGTCAGGGAAGTGCAGCCTTGAGGACCAGAGCACCGGACCAGAGTGGTCCCTGTTCATCCATGAATGACAGGAACCATGCAGACACTGCTGACCAGAGTGTGGCCTGAGTGATGACATTTTTGACTTGCCAGGTGTGATGCTGTAGACAGAGTGGGAGAAACTCAGGGCAGGGCCTGAGAGAGACGCTGATGATGGTCTGAGCGGTGGGTCTGGTGGGCTTGGGCTTGAGGGGCTGTAGGAACCGGGAGGGGGGCCGGTCACAGCGCTTCCTGCCTCTCCACCCAAGGCTCACATTCAGCTGTGTGACTGAAGGGCTTCACATCACCCCACCATCTTCTGGCCCACTGAGGGACAGGAAGGCTGCCACGGGTCCTCGAGGTTCCTTGTGTCAGCCTGTTGTTCACTCAGGCGGCCCTTCTGACTGCTTTTTATCTTTGCGGTGACGTTCTCCCTAGGCCGTTCATCAGCAGATTCTGAGCAACAAGTTCCTTATTGTGCGAATGAGAGAGCTCGCGTGGCGGAAGGAAGACTGCCAGAGGTTCTACCAGGAGCACAGAGGTGGGTGGCACAGCCTCTGAGTGGGCGGCTTCCCTGTCCCCGAGGCGGGGCTACCTGGACACGTGACCCCGGCTCCCCACCACCAGCCGGAAAACTGCCGCCAGTCTCAAATCTCAGCATTGACTCAAACTTTTCATGATTATTAGGGTTTGGTTTTGTTTTTAATATTTTCTGGGAACCGAGTTTTATATCCTGATAATATCAGTAGTTAACATTTAGTGAATGTTTACTCAGCCTGACATTGTCCCAATGCTCATGATTTCATTTAATTCTCCCAGCAGCCCTATGAGGTGGGTATTGATATGTCCCCAGCATACAGATTAGGAAACTGAGTCAGAGAAATTAGTGAGTCACACAAAATCGCCCAGGTGTAAGGGGCAGAGCCTGGATTCTAACCCAGGTACGTCCAGAGTCCAAGGGCCTCGTTCTTTGCTCTAAAACAGTTTTTTTTTAAAGATTTATTTATTTTTAGAGAGAGGGGAAGGGAGAGAGATAGAGAGGGAGAGAAACATTAGTGTGCAAGAGATAACATGGATGAGTTGCCTCTCACATGCCCCCAACTGGGGACCTGGCGGCAACTCAGGCATGTGCCCTGACTGGGAATCAAACCAGCAACCCTTTGGTTCACAGGCCAGCACTCAAGCAACCTGAGCCACACCAGCCAGGGCTAAAAGAGTTTTTATTATTCCAAGTTAGGAGGCAGTGGTACAAACGGTTCTCTTGGGCATCGGTGTCTTGACGAAGGTACTCTCTCTTTGCAGGGCGTTTTTTCTATCAGCGGCTGGTGGAGTTCATGGCCAGGTACTTCAGATTTCGGTCCCAGCGTCTTTATCTACTGAGACTTGTCTCTCCTCCCCCCTCAGTAGATTCATCAGTTCCATTTGCCAGTCTTTAAAGTTGTAGCAAGTGTCCAGTGTCTGAAGAAACACGGATTGGGGGCTCTGACTGAGCCAGCACTGACCTGGTGGCCCCTGTCCCCTGGGGGTTACTGACCCAGTGGCTGTAGGAGGGTGCTGTCAAATGCTGCCTAGCAACTCTGCTGATCTCTGACTTTCTTTGATATCAGCAGTAACCCCCATCACCTATTTGGAGCAGCATCGGTGCCCAGCTAGAAAGGCCACCAAACCCCCGATGGACAGTGCGCCTGTATCGGCACCCTGCCTACAGCGTGGCATCCTAGACCCGGTGGCCCAATTCCTGATTGATGAATGCTCCTTTTATTCCTAGTGGGCCCATCCGAGCCTACATCCTCGCCCATAAGGACGCCATCCAGCTCTGGAGGACGCTGATGGGACCCACCAGGGTGTTTCGGGCACGCCATGTGGCCCCAGATTCAATTCGTGGGAGTTTCGGCCTCACCGACACCCGCAACACCACCCATGGTTCTGGTGAGTCTGCCTCTCAGGTCCGCAGCCACAAATAAGGGAGAGTAGTTTGGGGCTGGTGGGCAGGCCGAATGGCGGGGTTGAGTCAGGCCCTTCCGGTGGGCCTTTTTCCCAACTGGGCGTCTGACCCTTTGCAGCCGTCTTATCCGACATGGCCTGAGGGCTGAGGAACAGGCAGGCGATGTCGAGGCTCTGGTTTCTGAACCTGATTGTGGTGGTCCCCATTCTGCACTCCCTAATACAATCCCTCCTCTTTCTAACCTCCTCTCGCAGACTCTGTGGCTTCAGCCAGTAGAGAGATCGCAGCCTTCTTCCCTGACTTCAGCGAGCAGCGCTGGTATGAGGAGGAGGAGCCCTGGCTGCGCCGTGGCCCCGTGCACTACAGCCCAGAGGGCGGCGTGCACCGCGCAGCTGGCGCGGGAGCCCGAGACAGGCCTGTCAGTCTGTGAAGACTGGTGGCACGGCCAAGGCTTTTTCCTGAGCCCTCCTGTCCAGCGCGTTCTCCTAAGACCAGGGAGGCCTGGGGCTCATGGTGCCCTCTCCGCTAGGCACCGCCACCTGCCTGAGTGCCTGGCTCCTCACTGCCACCGCGCCTAGAATTTGACTCTGACTACCTCTCCTTTGGACTGTTTGTCGGTGGCTTGGAGGAATAATGCTTCATCTTCCTTCTGAAAACTGTCCATCCTTTTTTAAGCAGGAGCTTGCCTCCTTGACTCTGCTGAGACTCTCAGTGAGCCCCTGGGGCCCGTCTTCCTCAGAGCAAGTCAGCAGTCAAGGCTGGGAGCGCTGCGCCGGGTGCCTTCTCTCCATCCTTAATGGAGCCGTTAGTAATTAAACCCGCCCTGAAGCCAGATTTTCCCCCACATTCAGTAGAGAAAGGTTGTGTGGAAATCTCCCACGAGGCCCACACACACAGGGTGCAGCTTCGCTGTGCGTAAAGGCGCCGGAGACAAAGCTGAGTGCGGGCTCAGCCCCAGGCTGCGCGTCTGGCGCGGGCTGCAGCTGGAGGAAGGGGACGTTCTGGTTTTGAACAAAGGGGTGTCTGCCCAGTGGAGGAATTTTGGGGGGTGTTTTTTATTATTGATTTTTAGGGAGAGAGAGAAACATCGATTGTTGTTCCACTTACATATTCATTGGTTGTCTTTTGTATGTGCCCTGACCGGGGAGTGAACCCACAACCCTGGAGTATCAGGACAGTGCTCTAACCAACTGAGCTACGAGACCAGGGTTTTTATCAGGCATGTTTTTATGATTCCCTTTTTTTTGGTGATTGGCAGAAAGCCACTAAAGGTAGTCATGTTCTTGTTGTAGCTGAGGATGACAGTTACCAGTTACTTCATGAAGAAGCACCCCAAAATGTAGCAGCTTAAACCCATAATGCTTTCCGCTGATGTGTCTGTCTGTTGGCTGGGTGGTTCCACCAGTGTCACCTGTGCTGGCTCATGTGGCCACACTCAGCGGTGGGTCCAACGCACTCTTTTGTCTTGAGCTTCTTCACAGTATGGTTGTTTCAGGGTTCCAGGAAGGCAGGCCCCCTCTTCACAAGCTTAGGAAGCTTCTGTTTGTGTCATGTTCGCTAACATCCCATTGGCCAAAGCAAGTCACATGACCACACACAGAGTCCATTTGGGAAGGACCCGAATGAGAACATGGATACTGGGTGGTGCGAATTCTTGGAAGCCATTACCATGACAAGCTACAACACTGGGGCTAGTGAAGAGCTTTGAATTGATGTAGAATTTACAAAAACAAATATTTGCACAAACCAACAAAGGAGATGAAGCAATAGCGATAGATTAAGAAGGTCCAAGTCCAAATTCTAGGTTCAATGTACAGGTAACAAAGTCCTGGGCCAGGTCCAGTGTCCAAGTCTAATGTCAGGTGCAAAGTTCCAGGTCAAATCCTTGTCTAAGTTTCAGGCTTAATGTTTGGGAGTAGGTCAGAGTTCAGGACTAAGTTGATGTCCACATCAAAAACAAATGAATTAAGAAAACAAATGAATTAATCAAAAAACAAATGAATAAAATATTTTTAAAAAAAGAAGAAACCAGAACATCTCTCCAAGTGTTGTTTTTTTTTAAGTTGGGCTCTCAAGTAGAAGAAAACTTTTTTCATTTTAATTATTTTTAGAGAGAGGGGAAGGGAAGGAGAAAGGGAGAGAAACATCAATGTGTGGTTGCCTCTCCAGCACCCCCAAATGGGGACCTGGTCCACAACCCAGGCACATGTTCCCTGACTGGGAATTGAATTGGCAACCCTTTGGTTCATAGCCCACGTTCAATCCACTGAGTTACACCAGCCAGGGTAGAAGAAAACACTTTCATCAAAGTTAAAACCAGCTCGTTTTCACCGGTAGTGGGTCTTTGGCTTTAGAATGTAAACAATTTTAGGCAAATTCGTTGTCTAAGATTTCTTGGGCTCACATAAGTAGTTAAGTGAAAGAACAAACCTTAGTCTTGCAGACGCTGAGCAGTGGAAGTTGGCACTGCAGGACCCTTTGGTCGTGGCGTGACGGCCCAGAACAACTGCTGAAACACAGACAGGACTCCATGCCCAATCTCCCCTCAGACCTTCAACCACCTGGTCAAGCACACAAGGAGCCACGTGGATGAGCTTTTGTCAGTTCACAAATACAGTGGATGAAAGGGATCCAATACCCTGCTCTTATGTTGCTATGACGGGTGGTGCAACCATTACCTTACCACAAAGGACACAATCATAGTCTTAAAATTGGTAAAATGTCTCCTTGTTGTTCCTATATAAATTAACTTTACATCTATACAAAACCAGCCTCAAATGGGTACTCAGAAGTCATTATTCCATTGCTGTCCCTCCATCTCTCCTATCTTGTCCTTGAAACTCTGTCTCTGAATGTTGGTAGCTCCACGTCCCCCTCAGGCCCTACCTGTGTGGCCATGGTAGAGAGGACGTCCTTGGTGACTGAGTGGAATGACTAAAGATTTAAGTGACGGGAATGGATGTGATGAGGGAAGGGTGGGGCACTGGGAGGCAGTCCTGAAGTGTCTCACACAGTAGGGAAGAGTCGAGGGGAAAGGACCGAATAAGCGAACAGGAATCAAGTTCTGCTGAGGCTGCAAGAAAGATAAAGACTAAGGGAAAAAGGGAATTTAAAAAATGGAAGATGAGCGGTGGTGTCAGCACACTGACCGCGGGGTGCTGGGGGCGGAGGCGGGATGCAGAGGTGGAGGGGGTGTGGGGTGACGGGGAAGAGTGGGCAGCTGGGGATTTCCAAGGATCCTAAAAAGGAGATACAGTGGATGCGGATAAAACAGAATTAGTGCAGGCGTTTTTGTTTTTTTTGAGAATAATAATCATGTGAAAATGCTTATATGTTAAGGAAGTGGACTCAGTAGAGACGGTTTGGTTTACAATAAATATACTTTATAATCACTCGTATAAAATTTCTGAGATGCAGGTAGGACCAGGACCTCACAATACGGGAGTGAAGGGACTGGGAGAGTAAAACAGGAAAGGGAAAGAGCTGGTCAGCCCTGTAACCACCTGGCCCCAGTTGAGCTGGAGGTTCTCGCCTCCCAGTACAAGTCAGAAGACTGGGTGTTGGCCTCCTGGTTTCCATCACCGGTTGTCAAGCATTCATCAGGGAGAGAAACGCCTCTGGGGTCCAAATTGGCATGTTGCCTGAAAGTCTGCCTGCTGGGTATCTGCACAGAAGCTCCTGGGAGGAGCCAAGAAAAAATTTTCACCTGGGTGAAAAAAGAGACAAGTAGGAATGTGGCCCAGCAGCCTTACTCCTGTGGCTTAATTGGTTAGGTCCTGCTTCCACAGGTTCAATTCCTGGTCAGGGCACATGCATGGATTGTAGGTCCAGTGCAGGTTGGGGCACATAGGAGAGGCGACCAATCCATGTGTCTCTCCCTCTATATCTCCCTCCCTTCCCGTCTCTTTAAAAAAGAAGGTGGACCAGAGGAAGTGAGAAGGGATATAAAGGTCATCCTGGGCTGCCCTCCCCTGGCCTTGCCTGGGCCACCACTAGCTCTCCCTGGAGGGCAGCATGTCACAGGGCCAGGCCATCTGGCTCAGCCACTATCTCTGCAGGACTCCTTATAACTGCAATCATTCCACTGCAGCAAGACCTGAGGTCATAGCTGAGTCTTATCTCCACCCTTCACCAGCGATATCGGAATTCCTGTGCCCAGAACCAGCACCTCCAGGTCTGAGATGCTCCTCTGCTGGGGAAAAGCAGACCTTTATGTCCAAGGCTCTGGACTTTCTGCCACCTGGGGAAAGAGCTGATTGCGCGGAGTGTGTGGTGAGGGCTACCCCAGTGTGCGTGGGGCTTTTCCAGAGTTACAATTTTCAAGGGCCATTGGAACTCTATGGGCATGGAACCATGCTGACCTTAGAACCCCAGCCAGCCATGAGACTGAACTGAGTCCCTGCGAGTGTTTAACACATCACTGGCACCCCTTCCAGGGTCACCTGTGTGTGAGCAGGGACAGCTCAGAGGCATCCCCAGCAGAGTTGCACACTGAGTCCATCCCTTAAGTGCCTACTAGGTACTCAGGGAGGAAGGCCGGAGGGATGGGAGGCCCAGTGCAGGGCGACCATGAGAATGAGCCACTGTCCTGGCCCCTTGGCCGCTGCCTCACCCCATGTCCTCCAGGGTGGAACTGCCGCCCGGCCCGAGCCTGTGTTTTGCCAGCACAAGTGCACACGGTGCTCCCTCACACACACGGCTCCCACAGTAGGTGGGGGTAAGTGTGGGAAGGCAAGACAAGTGAAACGGAAGCCTGGAGAAAGTTGCTTTCACAAGAATTTATTTTTCAGAGTCCAGAATTTGGACCCAGGGCAAAACAGACCCTTAGCCAAAGGACACACTTATTTGAAAACCCCCACTTATTCGAAAATGCCTGACTGGTTTGCGGAACCTCCGAAACTTGCTGACATCTCCGACCCCTGGAATCTGTGCACCAGGAGAAAACAAAACAGATAACTAGTGGGGGCTGGACCCAGGGTCAGGACCCCTTCCCACACGAACACCCCTTTCCTAGGCCAGCCACCCCAGGAGCCTGTGGCTCCAGTTCACCCTCTGGCAGGCACCTTCGGAACATGTGGTTGAATCCCTACACCCATCAAGAGAAGAGGAAGCTGAGGCCCAGAGATGCTAGTGGCTTCCCAAGGTCACTCAGCCCATCCCAGCAGCACTGAGTGGATCTTGAGCTGAGCACTCATCTCTAAGTCAGTGGCTCTCAAACTTCAGCAGGAATCAGAATCTGCAGGAAGTCTTCTTAAATGCAGATTGCCGGGCCCTGCCCCAGAGTGGGAGTCAGCAAGTGTGAGTGGGGCCTGAGAATGGGCATTCCTCATCCTCCACAGGGGAGGCCACGCTGTGGGCAGCACAGCTCTCAGGGACTGCAGAGCCGGTCCTGCAGACCTGGGGCTCAGGTGAGGGAGGGGCCCCGGGCAGGGGGTTTCTGGGCCCTGGATGGAGCACTGGTTAATGGGTCCATAGGGTGTTCCATGCACAACCAGCCATGGGCCCCTGCACACAGAAGGGGCCACTCACCTCTGCACAGTCGGCGTCAAAGTAGCCACTGGCCTGGCCCAGGGTGACTGTCCCAGAACACTGTTTCACCAGCTGAAAAGAGAGGACTGAGGTCAAACTGGAATGTCTGTGCTTTAACCCTCAGGTCTCACCCCAGTGTCTGGAACTGTTTTCCAGATGCCTATTGCTCAGCGTCTTGGGTGGCAGGCACCCTGGGCTCTCAGCCCCAGCCTTACCCCATTCTCCTTGAATTCACACTGCTCTGGTGGCAGCTGCGTCGTCCTGGGGCACACGGTCTCCTTCACTGTGAAGCTCATAGGCTTCGGGGTGTCTGGGTTGTCGTCCTGGTCAGAGGAGAGAGTGGGGAGACCAGGATTGGGCACCAGCTTGTCTTCTCTGATCCGTGCCCCACACCCCATCAAGACAAGAGGTTTCTGCCCTGGCTGGTGTGGCTCAGTGGATTGAGCATCAGCCTGGGCACCTGGCTGCCACCAGTTTGGTTCCCACTCCCAGCACACGGGGGTTTTGAGCTGGGCCCCTGGCAACCAGTCCAGGTTTCACTCCCTCTTTCTTTCTTCCTCCCTATCCCTTTCAACAACATAAAAAAATAAAACCTTTTTCTAGAAAAGCTTATTTAAGGACAGGGGCTTTCAACAGCCCCAACTGTGTCCCTGGCACTCTGTTGGGTGCTGGGGGACAGAGGTGAGCAGGACAGACCCCACTGCTGCCCTCCCCTGGCACACAGAGTGCAGGAGAGGACCTCACACAAACTCTGGGGACTGAGGGAACCCAGAGGTCTCCTGGAGAAAAGAGATTGTCACAGGGAACCCGGGGCTGAGCGGGGCCATCCCTGTGTGGGAGACAAGCAAGAGCAGAGGGAACTGGAAGCAGGGAGGTCGCATCCAGACCCAGTGACCCCATTCCTCTTCCTGGAACTGGCAGGAGTCCCTGAAGCCTGAGTGGGTGTGTGGAAGGGGCAGCTCTTTGCACAGTATAGATTCTAAGGGGGGGGACTGTCATCTGGCAGGGGACACAGCTCAGGAAGGTCTTTCTCCTGGAAGAGGTGGGTGGCACTGAAAGGGAAGAGTGCCTCCCCAACCACAGGTCCTGTGTGAGCAAAGGCAGTGGCAGCGGGGCGCCCCTGGCTGGCCCAGAGCCTCCCCCCCCCCAGGTATCCCCCCAACTCACTGCATCAGGCCTCTGCTGGTCCAGCTCCAGGAGGCGGTAGAGACTAGGTTCCGAGGAGCGCTGGTTGAAGCCGTTCACAGCAGCGAGCACAGCCTCGTTGTAGCTGACGACCTGGGCAGTGGCTGGAGGCACGGCCAGGCCCAGCAGCACTAGCCACAGTGACCAGCGTCCCCAGGGAAGGCTGTCTCTCTGGGTCTCCATGGTCCCCAATCTGCCTCCTCCTGGCCTGAGTGACCCTCCTTTATGCCTGGGTCAGTTGCAACAGCCCCACCAGGAGCCTTCCTGACCTGCCCCATCACTGGCCACCTGCCAGGTGTGGGCTCCACTTTCCTCAGCTCCACGCTTGCCTCAGGGGTCTCAGTGGACCCTGGGCGAGGTCTGCCCCATGTGCAACCTGAAGCAATGGTTTCTCCATCTCCCTGACAACATATCAGCCTCTCCTGGGCCCCTTGGGGCAGTTTCAGCCAGGGTTGCTCAAGAGAGTTGAAATTTCCAGAAGAGAGGAAGGGAGCCAGGCACAGACATGGGTTCTCCCCACTGCAACCAGCTCGGAGTCAGCATCGTGTAGTGAATTCGCCAGCAAGTCTTCCTCCCAGGCCTGCCCAGCACCCAGCAGGCTCCCAGGTCAGGCTGATGAGTGAATGGCAGTGACCAGCTCCATCTGCAGCCTTACCCGCCCAGCCAGTCCTGAGGGGAGGCTTCCAAGGCCACTTTATCCTGCTCTAGACCCAGCCCTCAGTCAGTTCAGCGGCTTGGGGACACCTGCCCCCTCTTCTGGGCTCTTCTCCACTGCCCTCTTGTCTGAAAATGTCCCTAGCCCCCACCAGATGTGGCCTGTTGTCCTGGCCCCTCCACAGCCTAAGGCTGAGGCAGGTCAGTCCACAACTATACTCCCACTTCTTTGCTGTCACACTCAAAGCCACTCTTGGCTGGCCAGCCCTCACTGGAGACAGTGGCCACTCAAGCCCCGTCTTTATCTGCCCAGCTGCTGGCGGCCCCTCTGTCTTCCTGAAACTTCCCATCCTTCCCTGAGGCCCCTCCCCTGGTTTCCCTCCTCCCTCCCTGGCAGCTCCTTCTTGGTCTCCCCCAGGATGTTTCCTTGCACACGGAGGACGTGCCCAGTGCCATCCTGGGCTGCTTCTCTTCCCAGGCCTCACACAGAGGTCACATCCCGCCGGGGGACACCCTCTCTCAGGACACCAGTTACCAGGGACAGATGACAGCTGGTCTGCATCTCTGAGTTCAGGACTTCCCAGATTAGCCATGGTGGTGCCCAGGGGGCTGGGCTGCTGTTGTTTGGCAGGTGCCCGCTGCACAAGCCCTGGGATGGAAGGCTGAGAGAAGCTGCTTGTCCCTCATTCCTCCTGGGGACAGTCCCTTCCCACCTCTGCCAATGCCCCTGTCCTGTCCCCTACCACCATCTTCTGTCCTCCTAGGTGTAGCCATATCCTCCAGGCTGTACCTCCTCCAAGTTCCAGGCTCTCCCCAGAACCCAGTCTGCTTCCAGGCCATGGTCTGTGCCTCCTTCAAACTCTGATTTGGCCATTTTGCCCCCAACCTTCAGGAGCCCACACCCTGCAGGCTGGCATCAGGGCGGGCTGACATGGGCTCCTCATTGCCCTCCCCTGCAGCCTGCCCACCCCAGGTATGTGGCCGCCACACACACCCCACCACTCAGTTCCCTGGGAGCCTCCTGCTCATTGAATCCTCTGCTTGGCAGGCCCTTCAGCCTGTGCACCAACCCTGACTGCACCCGACATGCCAACCTCCTCTTCCTTGCTGCCATAGTCTCGGGAGGTGCCCACTGATCTGACCCCATGACTCCCTGTTCAGTGCTCTCACTGAGCCATGAGGCTGGGGTGGCTGGTGCTGGGAGGGGGAGAGAGCACCCCTGGGGGGATAATGGGCCTAAGTGATAGAGGGGTCCAGAGGCCAGGAGGAAAATTCCAGGCCCAGCTCTCCTGTGCAATGAATGACCATGTGGCCACCAGGCCTGGGGTAGCCTTTGGCCTCTGTGGGCCTGTGGGACTCTCGGGCACTTGGACAGGGCCCCTTGGAAGGTGGCAGCCTGATTGTGTGGCCTCTTGCGCACTCAGCCCTGGGAGAAGGAAGGAGAAATGGACCTGTGTGCAACCTGGTTTCATATCCCAGACGTTGCCCCAGTGGGCTCTTGATCAATTGGGGCTTGCACATTGGGGCCCGTTAGACTGGTGGGAGGAGGGTCAGAATTCTGAGGGACACCTGACCCCCCAGATCTCTCTTGAATCCCTCACCTTATTCTGGCTTCAGGGTCCCCAAGAAGCCAAACTGGGAGAGAAGTAGGTTTCCATGTGAGTCTCTGGACCAGGTCATGAGACCTGCCCAGTCCTGCCCTCCTCCAGGTCACATGCAGCACACTCAGGGCCCTTCTCGGTGGGCTCAGGGGCACCGACCAATGCCCCACAGGCAGCAGCTGCTGCTATCACCAGGGCTAGAAGCTGTTCCAGGACAGGTGAGGACCTGAGCCTCTGGGGCAAGCAAACAGGCGCCGGGATCGCTGGGCTGCCTGTCACTCCTTGTGACTCCCTCTGAAACCCCTGCCCTGGGAGGGCCTCTCAGCAGCACAGGAGCCGAGCCCCACTCTGACGCCACAGGCAGACTGAGGAGCCCACGGGCAGAGAGGACGGGCAAACCGTGGCAGTGGTCCAGCTGACTGGCCTCCAGGGTTTTAGCTTGGGGGGAGGGAGACAGACAGACAGACAGAAACAGAGACAGATAGATGGAGAGACAGGGAAGGCAAAGGGGAGAGGGAAAGAGGAGCCAGGTCAGGAGTGGGCAGGAGGTCGGAGGCCGTGGTAGCCAAGCCCTAGGTGGCGGGGCTGGCCCCTGGGCACTCTCCCCATGCCCACTCCTGACCCAGCCAAGGGAGCAGAGCAGCCCAGGAGGTGGGAGCAGAAGGTCCTGCAGAGGCTGCTGCAAGGGTGTTGTCAACACCTCCTCCCACAGCCGGGGCTCCCACCTTTCCCAACGCCCCTCTATGTCTCCTCCCAGTCTGGCTGAGCCAGGTGCTCTGCCTAATCCTGTCCTGCACTGAAACCCGCCCCCTCCTCGGGCCCCCTCCCAGCCAGGGCTGGAACCCACCCTTCTCCCCTTCAGAGCCCTCCCCTCACTGGGCCATGCATCTCAGGGCCCAGCCCCACCAGCCCCTGCAGGTGGCCTGAGCAGCCTCTTTCTCACAAAGAGCTCTGTCCACCAGCGCTGCAGGTGTCCTTCTCTGCCAGGCAGCTGACCCCTGAGGCCACCTCAGTCCTCCAGGCCTTTTCTAACAATACTGACCCTTCCCATGGCAGGTCTTCACGTCTCAAACAGCCATTGAGAACTTTCTGCAATGAGGGGACTGTTCTGGACCTGTGCTCTCCAATGTGGTGGCTATTAACCACTCAAGGCTGTGAACACTTCAAACACGGCTGGTGTAACTGAGGAACTGATTTCTTTTTTAATTAAATATATTTTATTCAGAATGCTATTACACTTGTCCCATTTCCCCCCTTTTTCATCTCCACCCTGCACACCCCCTCCCCCCTGCAATCCCCCATTTAGTTCATGTCCACGGGTCATACATACAAGTTCTTTGGTTTCTATATTTCCCATACCATTCTTACCCTGCCCCTGTCTATTTCATACCTACCATGTATACTACTTATTCTCTGTACCTTTTCCCCCTCTCTCCCCCTCCCACTCCCCTGTTGCTAACCCTCCATATGATTTCCATTTCTGTCGTTCTTTTTCTGTTCTAGTTCTTGTTTGCTTTCGCTTTCGTTTTAGGTTTGGTTGTTAATAACTGTGAATTTGTTGTCACTTTACTGTTCATATTTTAATCTTCTTTTTCTTAGATGAGCCCCTTTAACATTTCATATAATAAGAGGTTGGCGATGATGAACTCCTTGAACTTGACCTTATGTGGTAAGCACTTTATCTGCCCTTCCATTCTAAATGAAAGCTTTGCTGGATAGAGCAATCTTGGATGTAGGTCCTTGCCTTTCATGACTTGGAATACTTTTTTCAAGCCCCTTATTGCCCACAAGATTTCTTTTGAGAAACCAACCCCTGGCTGGTGTAGCTCAGTGGATTGAGCGCAGGCCTTCGAACCAAAAGATCACGGTTCGTTCCCAGTCAGGGCACATGCCTGGGTTGCAGGCCAGGTCCCAGCAGGCCAGTTCCCAGCAGGGGACACAAGAGAAGCAACCATACATAGATATTTCTCTCCCTCTCTCCTTCCCTTCTCTTCTAAAGATAAATAAATAAAAGTTTGTAAAAATCTCCTAGAGTTTTAAGTAACTTTGCACATTTGTGTGGGATGGCTTTCACAGCCACCCCTGGCTGCCCACGGCCCACAGGCCGCAGGCCGGAAACCCCGGCCTTAAAGTGTATGTGAGTTATAGCACAGTGGACTTGATTTTTTTTAATAAATAAAATTGAAAGCCGGGGAAAAAAGGCTTAGAATGGGTCCAACCCCAACTTCCTTTAAGGCAGGCATTGCTCAGGGTTGAAATGTCTTAAATCCTGGAAACTGAGACACCGCCCCCCACAAACACAGCATCTTACCTAATGTGGGCATTTGTCAGCCCGCTACCAGCTGGCTTGGGCAAGAGGCTACAAGTCAACCAGGATGGGAAGGAACCCCAGGAACTTTTTACCTCCCAGAGGCCTGGAGATTGACAGGGACTGGGACAGTGCCCCCCAGCCACCCCAGCATACAGTGTTCCCACTCGTCTGAGCACATTCTGTAGGGACATAGCTCTAGGGAATCTATCCGTGTGGAATGGTAAATGGAGCCCAGCCCTAAAGGAAAGCCCACAGGCGCGGGTCGGCACCCACGAACCAAGTGCATGGACTGGCTCTCCCGTGGGACACAAGGCCGGCATTGTACCCAGGCTGCTTTGAGCCTTGCTCTTGCTAACTCACTCACCCTGAGCTGAAGCAGAAAATCCTTACTGCATATCTTTCAAGTAACGTCCTGAAGTCTGTGTAATTCTCCCAAGGACAAAGTGTAACCAGACCAATGACTCATATTTCCTTGCATCTGCACATTTATTCCTTCTTAATCTGTAAGAAGTAATCAGTTAGATCCTTTCCTTTGTTATCTGTAAAAAGTAATCACCTGAAGCAAACCCGAGCATAATGAATGAGAACCTTCTTTGCTGTATGCTAGTAGTAAGCAATAAAAGCCAGTCCAGGCCAGGGTTGGGGCCCTCTCTCTCACTCAGGGAGTCACCATACTGTCCCTTTATCTCCACAGGACTTCTGTAGTGCCTATGAATTTGTTCGTTGCATCCACAACATATGGATCCTGCAGGACAGAGTCCCCATCCCATAG